AGCGTATGAGGAAGGCACTGCAGGCTCGGGAGCGGGTGGAACAAATGGAAGAAGAGAAGAAAAAACGGATGGAGCAGAAGATTTTACAGAGTGATGAAAAGGTAAGAAGGCTGACCAAGCTTTGGACCGCTCAGTCTCACAGCTCACTGAGATAATGTCACTGTACTAAGAGGGTGCAAACAGGCCGCTGGCATGATATGTGCAAGCACAGGATGGCTGCTGATGGTGACTAATAGGTGGTGGGTAAGTCTGCATCAGAGGCACTGAAACACTCAAACAAGAGCAGGCTTTTGTTCTCCATGCCTCTGCAGTGGTTCTAAACATTCCTGTCCTAACATGCAGTGTTCAGGGTTCTCTGAGTTCAAGGAATGTGGCGGCATCCTTTGATTGTCCTGTGAATAGGCGCTGCAGATGAGACAGCCTTACACTGCTTAGTGCGTGCTCAGTGAACTGTTTGTACAGAACGTTACAGGCAGCGAAGCCAAAGGGGTTGCAAAGTTGTGTTGGGAAAGAATAGCTACCAAGCATGAAAGGGATGCTCATGACTAGCAGACTTGGCTCTGGGTGTGTTTGTATCATGTTTGTTAAAGCTTTGTTTAGCCCTCCCTTGAGGACAGGTAGAAGATGAAGAGCATGCTAGGATGGGCTGTTGATGGCTGCGTGCAGACGGTGTTGGTGCTTATGTACAACTGTGCAGGTTCTGCAGGGTTGAGAGAGGCTGTTCCTGACTGACCCAGAGCCCTAAGCAGCCTGTGGGAGAAGGATGCTTGCTCATTTTGGGGGGTGGAATAAAGTGCGCTTAAAGAGGTCAGCCTTAAAAAACAAAGGAATCGTGCTCCTTTCAAGTTTCTCAGAACCTGAGCATTCAGAAGCACACCCAGCCCTGTGTGGTCTGCTGCTGCAGTCATGCTGGTGCTTCTGCTGGGACAAACTGCTTGGGTGAGGGAACTGTGTCTCTGGGGCTCAGTTAGCTTTCACATTCCCAGTTCATGCTGCAGTTCAGTTAGTCAACAGCATTGCAGGCAAAGTGGAAACCAGATGCTAGATCCCCTTGTTCTGCAGAGAATTGCTTACGGGATGGTGGCATGTATTTTGAGGTTGTAGTGGTCTCTGTGCTGCTTTGTCCTGTCACTCCAAGCTATGGGTGTCTCTTTTCACGTGGCCTGCTGTAAGTGGTGGACTTACTGCACAAGGCTGGTGCTAAATCCAATGCACGTGTGCCTCTTGCTGGGTGCTGGGTTCTCAGTCTCCTGAGGACCTGGAATATCACAGGCTTCAGAAGCAGTCCCCATCCTCAATTTGGACACGGCTGTGAGTTGGGTCCTTGAGGATGGTGGAGCAGATGCATGTGGCTTTCTCAGGTGCGCCTCTCGCAAGTGCGGGAAGAGAAAGTGGCAGAGGAACGGAGCAAGAAAAAACTGTCCAAGAAACATGGAGAAGCTGATGCACAGAAGCAGAAAGCACTGAAGGTGGTAAGAGCAACTTTGAGTCCCTCCTGTGCATAAGAAACAAAAGGAGCAGTAGGGAGCCCATGTGCTGTTCTGATAGGTGGGATGGGGAGGTTACTGCCTCTCCTGCTGCAGGGATTTTTGGGTCCATGCTGTGAGATTTCTGTCTAGAACGTTGATCTTGGGTTTGAACACAAGGGTACCTGTGGGGACAGAAAGGAGAGGCTGCCTAACTGGTAGGCAGGCCATGGAAGGTAAGAATTCGGTACAGCTAGCACGGGTTGTCTCAAAGCATTTGCTGCTTATGCATCTGGTGGCTACCAATCCCATAAACAGATGCACACTGACGTCTGTAATCCAGCTATCAGTATGACTCTGGGTCATAATAAATTGAACAACTGAAGGGTGCGCTGTTAAAGTGCAGAAGTATGTCTGTCACAGAGCTTTCAGCTGTAACTACTGCCATTCTGCCTCATTACAATGTTGTGCCTATATTTATGCCTGACCTTCCCATGACACTTCTGAAACCTGAGCATCTTGCTAATCTCCTTCCATCTTCCCAAGCCACGCTATCACATGCGTCTTGTTGAATTCCAGCCATTTTCAGTGTGCAACTGCCCTGTTGCAAGTCCCAGACTTGAAGTTTTGTTGTTCTGCTCCAGCTCACTCCTTACAGGCTGCTGGAATCAAAGCTGACAGCCAGGTGAGCAGAGGTGGATCGGTCGAGGATCTGGAAGGGAACTGAATTTGAAGTGAATGTGTTGCATCTTCAGATGCTCTCAGTTTACTTCTGTTGTCCTGAAGAGCACAGAGGTCATGTATCAGCAAGTCAGCAAGTTCCTCAGTACCTTGGTTGGACAAGAATGGCAAAGCCGTTTGCAGTTGCTTAAATGTGTATCTATGTGACTTGAGTGAGTCAGCAATGTGGGAGTGAAGCAGAACATGAGCTGAAGCAGAGGAGTTTGCAAGCTTTGTAAAGCTCTTCTTTCCTGGCTGGAGTAGCAGCTTTGGCTGTTGTCTGGGTTCCTCTGTGCTCTCACAGTGAGACTTTTTCCTCTCTTGTTCTGCCTCCCCAGTAATTAGAGCACCAGTGTGACTGTTCAGTTCTGGTTTCAGATAATTAGAGCTGGGCCCTACAGTACAGTATATGGTAGGCTGTTGGGTTTTGCTCAGGGGCTTTGCCAGGACATCCCTAATCCCAGTCTCAATCCCAATCTCAATCCTAATCCCAATCCCAATCTCAATCCTAATCCCAATCTCAATCCTAATCCTAATCCCAATCTCAATCCTAATCCTAATCCCAATCTCAATCCTAATCCTAATCCCAATCTCAATCCTAATCCTAATCCCAATCTCAATCCTAATCCCAATCTCAATCCTAATCCCAATCTCAATCCTAATCCCAATCTCAATCCTAATCCCAATCTCAATCTCAATCCTAATCCCAATCTCAATCCTAATCCCAATCTCAATCTCAATGTCATTGTTTAATTGTGATTTTAATTTTAATATTTGGTGATTTGTGTGGAAAGGTGTTTGTGGCGGAGAAAAAACCCCCTCATTTGCGTAATTAATTAGTTTGCATCATTAGGTATTAGTGAATAATTAGGGATGGGGTAGTGTATACAGGTGTAGTGAGTGTATAGCGGGGTAGTAGTGTATATAGCATAGTAATAGTATGAAAAGAAAATTAAAAGTAAGTCTGGTGCAGCAGTAGAAATCCACTTGCTCCCCAGGAGTAACTTTTCAAATTTTTTAACTTTATTTACTTCCAGGGAGCAAGTTATTTTCTAAAGCTGCTAAATTTTAATTTTTTTTTTAAATATAAAGGGGAGGGAGGAAAAAAGAAAGACAAAGAAACGGGAAAGGAGGATGTGGTTACTGGAAAGCTGATGGTGTGATAGGTGAAGCATGTTATTTGAAGAAGTTTCCTGGTTTTGGTTGTTTGGGGTTTTTTTACTCCCTGTATCCCTTTACTGTGCTTCTTGTGACACTACAGACTCTTAATGTATTGTGGCCAGTAGATCGAGGGAGGTGATTCTGCCCCTCTGCTCTGTTCTGGTGAGACCCCACGTGGAGTACTGTGTCCAGCTTTGGAGTCCCCTAGACAAAAAGGACATTGAAGTGCTGGAGTGGGTCCAGAGGAGGCCACGAAGATGATCAAAGGGCTGGAGCACCTCTGCTACAAGGATAGGCTGAGAGACTTGGGGTTGTTCAGCCTGGAGAAGAGAGGGCTCTGGGGAGACCTTATAGCAGCCTTCCAGTTCCTGAAGGGGGCCTACAGGAAAGCTGGGGAGGGACTTTTTTTACAAGGGCAAGTAGCAATAGAATGAGGGGAATGGTTTTAAACTGGATGAGGGGAGATTTAGACTCGATAGTAGGAGGAAATTCTGTACTGTGAGGGTGGTGAGGCCCTGGGTTGCCCAGAGAAGTTGTGGATGCCCCCTCCCTGAAGTGTTCAAGGCCAGGTTGGACGGGGCTTTGGGCAGCCTGGGCTGGTAGAGGTGTCCCTGCCCATGTCCCAAGGTCCCTTCCAACCTAAACCACTCTGATTCCATGATCTTTCCTCACTAGAGCTGGAGGGTTACAAGGGTTTTCTTTTTTTGCTTCTTCAGGAGGAAGATGAATTTGAGCAGCAAGAACCACTGCAGAAGAGGAGAGAGGATGAAGTAAAAGAAAGAGGAAAGAGAGTCTTGGAACTGAAAAATCTTATGGAGCATCAACAGGTGGAACAAGTGAAGGAGAGGTATTAGCTTGTTTCTGTCCTAGAGGGGACTTGGCAGCAGATGTGGTGAAGCAGTAAATACAAATAGCATCACTGCTATTGGGAGACTGGTGTGAGTGTCAGACTGTCCCAAAGGCTTGGGATGCTGAAGCAAGAGGCTGTAAGAATGCTTGGGGGGTGGGCAGACGTGCTTTCCTCTATAACTAAGTTATAGTTTTGTTTCCCCAGGGCTTACAAACAGCGTGGGAAAGAGAAAGACACCCAACCACGGCTGGACTTGGCAGCACTTACTGAGAAAAGCATAAAGGTGGGGAGTTGTGGTCTTGGAACACCTTCTCTGTTGTAAACTAGTAAGGCATACGATACAAACTGATTTTAAAATCAAACTTGTTTTCTAAGTGCTGTGTTACTGTTGAAGGTTTTAACGTTTACTGTTACGTCATTTAGAGGAACCAATACAATAAAACTGGTGACGAGCTAAACATGTTATTGTAAGAAGCTGGGGGTTGTGCAAGGATAAGCCAACTCTGTTGACAAAATTGGGGTTGAGTGGGGTTTTTTTGTTAACAGGTGAGCCTGCTCAGCCCCATCACGAGATGGATGACAGCCATACAATGGCACTTTGAAGAACACTTCCAAATGGCATTCACTGATACTTAAATGAATATGGAAATTAGTAAGAGATTTTTTTTTCTACTTTCACTCACTGTATTTGGAGGATGTGGTCCCCATAACAAACCTCAGGTATCATGTGGCTTCACATAACTTAATTTGCACTGATACAAAGAATGTTGTGGCTTAAAATCAGGGCTGTTTGTCTCAAAATATCACAGTATCACATTCTTTCCACTCCCTCTCTCCCCTCTTAACATCACTGTTTCTTCTGCCTTCTTCATTAGTAAAGAATCAAACCCTCAAATGTTCCTCCTAAAGATAAAATCCTCCTTGATCTGCTCTTGCTGCTCTTACTCACTCGGTCCATGACATTCAAACTCCTATATAATTTTAATGAAGGTCTGAATTCTTCATATGTTACCAGCAACTGGGCTGGAGCGAGCTGCAGCAAAGCTACTACAGATGAGACAAATTCAATATAATTCAGTGCCTGCAGCTCTTGCCTTCCTGTTGGCTCTTCCCTACTGAGTAGTACGGGAGGAGAAACTCCTGGAAAGAGGGGGCTGGGTTGAAAAGGAGCCTAAGCAGTGAAACATTTTTTGTCTCTTTATTAGAAGGAAGAGAGCCCAAAAGTGTTGCACCAGCTGCCTGGGCAGGAGAAGAGAGACAAGCAACCAGAATCCATTGCCATGGCTTCTAATATCTGGCTCAAAGCAGTAAAGGTGAGTGTGGGCTCTAGAGACCTTGTTGACCTGCATCTGAGCAAAGACAGGACTTGCTTTATCTTTGAGTCTTGAGTTTGGTTCTTTTTCTTCTACAGAAGATGTAGAGAGACTGAGGATTTTTTTTGCAAGGACTCTTGAAAATCTGGCTTGTTTCCAGAGATAGTCTGGTTGTTTTGCTTGGGTGAACATGAATGAAGAATGACTTAGTTCTTGCATCTTAACAGAAGGAAGATGGTCTGCAGGAGCCCCAGCAGCAGCTGAGAGAGGAGAGAAAAATCAAGCAGCCAGAAGCACTGACTGCTGCCTCTGGCACATGGCTCAGCAAAACTGTAAAGGTGAGCCCTGCTTCCAGCAGAGCCCTCAAATAAAATGAGTCTGTTGTGCCTAAGTGGCTCCTGTGGTTTGGAGCCAGCCTTGGAGATTTATTATCTATCACTGATGGAGCAGGAAATGAGATCCTCAAGTGTAGGCTGTCAGGGTTTAACAGGCATCTGTGCAGAGGATGGGGGTGTCTGTCTGCTCGGGTGCTTGGCCGAGAGCTCGGCACTGAGGGAACCTGAAGGAAAAACAAGGTTTTCTCTTGGAGATGTTGGCAATGGCCACAGGATGGCAGCACCTCACGAGGCCTCAGCTTGGCCTGCAGTGGCTCTGAGCAGCCGTGGCTGCTGCTGCTGAGCCCCCAGGAGCCTGTTTGAATTGGAGCTGCTTGGGGCTGGTAACTGGAGGGTTGGAGAAAAAGCTGCTCAAAGAGTCAAACAGATCCGAGTACAGCCTTGGCCGGTAAACTCTCTTGTGCTGGGGCTGGCTGGCTCTTCTTCTGCCTGCTGGGGTTCTCTGTTGGGTGACTCATGTTGTAACTCTAGAGAATGAAAACCAGATCTACCATGAAATATGTGAAAGGGTTTCAGTGATAGAGCCATGTGTGCAAAAGCCAAGTGCGTAGACATACATGGTGTGTTCTTCTAAGGTTTTCCTACAGAAAACAGGAGAGGGAAAGGGTTAAGTCGTTATCGAGTCATGGAGCACAGTGACAGGTCCTGTATTTGTACAGATGTGTGAACACTTCTGCATTCCCTCAGTGCAAAGAGCCCTGCAGAATTTTAGGGCTGCCTTCCTGGTTTATTCTCTGGTCAGCACCTCCAGGTACTCTTGCACTGCATATGACTTGTGGGTCTTCCAGTCATCCCTGCTCCTCACCACTATGCCAGGATGGATTTCTGAGCTTTGACTCATGCTGTCCTGACCTGCAGCTTCAACATGAGACAGAGCCCTGGTTTTTTTCCTGCCCAGGTACTGCCAGGCTCTTCCTGACAGCATGGAAGCTGCAGGGAGTCGAGTGGCTGTTTCAGCTCTGTGGTCTGCATTCCCTGCTGCAGTGCGCAGTCCTGTGCTACAGCTTGGCTGTCGGGGGGATGTGGTTTCAAAGCAAAATTCAGTCTAAAAAAAAAAAACAACAAAAAAAAGCCAAAAGGATTTAAGCACATCTGACTCTTACTGAAATTTCACTCCAGGTTACCTGTCAGGTAGGAATACTGTAGATGTTCCAGTTAACAGGTAGATCAAAGGCTTGCCGTGCACAGGTAGGTGACCTCTCTGCCTCTCCTGTTTTTCAAACAAGGGATGAAAATGAGTGTGAATGATGTGCTGCTCTGGAAAGGCAGCTGTCAGCTCTTGTTTCTGGCTGCCTTCCCTTTGCAGTAAGTTCCTTGCCCAGCACATGGCATTGGGAACTCACCCCTTAACTTGTAACTCTATGCTGAGCGTGAGGGCCCTGCTTAAATACCTGAACAGCATCTTGTGGTGGGGTCTAAGCTGGGATCTTAGCACTGTCTGCTCATCTGGAGGGTGGCAGAACTTGGAGGGGCGTGGGTTTGGTGGTCAGCGTGCCCTGGCAAGGCCAGCTCTACTGCCAGGCTGGAAGATCTGCTTCCCACTCAAATCAGTGCTGTCTCTGGTTTCAGAAATCTGTCTCCACATCTTGCTTGGGACCCCTGAAGGGTGCAAAGGAGTCCAGATCCCCAAAGGTAAATGAAAATAACTACGGGATGGATCTGAACACTGATGACTCCACGGATGATGAGAACGAACCTCGGAAGCCTGTCCCTGCCTGGGCTGATGGTAGGTGCTGAGTTTGGTTTGGCTTCCTGCAATTCCTTCCTTGGAAAGTTGGAGCTTTCCAGATTCACTTGGTGCAGTCCAGGAGCATGTGAGGCTTTGGCAGTGCTGGCAGCTGCTGGCTCCCAGCGGTGAGGGCAACTGGAGCCGCTTTCCTGCAAGCGCTGTTGTGTTGAAGTTAAACCAGAGACCTCCATGCATGCGTCTGGATCCAAGGGTGTGAGGAGAACAGTTTGGGCTCAGGAGTAACAAGGCAGCCCATTCCTTTGAGGGAAACCAAGGTGTGGTGGGTTTGGCATATGTCTGGTGTGCTGAGTAACTTAAAACAACTCACTGTACAGGTAATGGTTCAGGTGGGGAAGAAGAAGAACTGTCCTGCAGGCTGAGAGGGAGAGGGCACTGAAAACTTATTTATAGTGAGCCTGCCTCTCCTTTCCGTAGGGTCTCAGCTCAATCAAGCTATTATACACCAATACTATCATCCAATGGATATTGACCAAATCTTTGGACAAATTCCAAGCCCAAAGCTGGAAGATATTTTTGGCAAGAGCAAGCCTCGCTACTACAAGCGCACAAGCTCAGCAGTCTGGCATTCCCCACCTGGGACCAAACCTACCCGCTGCTCATCTTGCAACTTCAACAACTGAGAATGCAAGGAAATGTGTTTTAAGTCAGCATGGTGCATCCGTTTGTTTTCCTAGCCTGTCGAATATTTATGATTTTAACCTTTTTTTTAATACAAAAATTAAAATACTGAATAAAACCCTGTTGCTATCAACGCTCCGTCGGTGTTTGTCTCTCTTCCCTCACTGTAGTGAGGTGATGCTTCTGGATGGCTGATTCGAGACCGATGGTGTGGTTTCTGCAACTGAAATTACAGATGCTTGAAGGCTTGATATTGTGCCATTGCTGTTTCCCTCAGATTGCCTGCAGAATCCTACACAAGGAAGCCATGAAACTGCCATAGGGAAGATAAAATCTTTTTAATCAGCCTGAGAGGGTAATGTTTTCATAACCCATTCTGTACTGTATTTATGTATTTAACAATGCTTTTCTCTGCGAGTAGTCTTCCTTCAATAATTATTGTAACTTCTTGTTACTCTGAGCCAAAACCTTTCTTCTGCAGTCAGAAAACCCTACTTGAACAGCTGAAGCAGTGTCTAAGTGTTTTGTCACTGCTCTTTTCTAATGGAAAAATGAAGCCCCAGACTAAGTTCTTGGTCCTATTTTTCTAGGAGCCTTCAGCATACGGTCTTGCTTGGGCAGGCAGCAGATTTCTTTGGAAGTTGTAGCTTGGACAGGGTAAGTGGTAAAACAACTTCCTGAGAACTGAGCTATCACCTGCTGAGTGCTCCTGTGTGCTCCCTGGGGTGCGATGCTTGGTGGCAGCAGGCATCTCCTGGCCCCTGCAGCCAACCCCAAGTCCTGGGCAGCCTGGGGATGGTTCCTGCATGCTGGGGTGGCCATGGAGGATCCCGGAGCCCTGCAGAGGTGCCCTTACGGCCCTGGGGGCTGTCCCGTGTAGCCAGCGGCGTTCTGAGATCCAGCAGACAGCAGCGATGAGGACGATCCTTAGATGAAAAGGGAAAGTCCCTGAGTTAGAGCCAAGTCCCACACTAAACCATAACGACCTTTCCTTCCTCTTTCTGCAGTTCCCCCTCTGGCTGCTCTGTCGAGCACAAACGTGACCACAGGGGAGGAACCCTGTCCCACCTTAGGTGACATGGTACGTTGCTGGGTGGAGATTTCAAGCTGGTCAGAGTGGTTTTGTGGAGCTTTATGAGAGGCTTGGAGGGTTTTGAGTAGTTGAGAAGAGTTTCCGAGTGTCTTGGTGGAAGAGTCTTGCAGGCTGTTGGAGTTTTTGGTGGGTTTTCAGAGCTTTGAGCTCTGCAGAGGTGGTGACAGGGTCTGAGATGAGCTTTGCAGAGGCACAGAGCAGCCCAGAGTGCATGAGCAGAGCTCTGGAGCAGCTGAGGGCTCTTTTAAAGCTGCTCATCGGGATCAGCTCTGTCCTGGCTACCCCTGACTCCTGGGTCCCCCCAGCTTTTATGTTCGTCTTAGGGTCCCTCATTGTGCCACTGGATGTCTGTGGGGCTGTCAGTGACTCTTCCTTTTCTGCCTGGTCTCCCTTGGGCCCCCCTGAGCTTCCTGGGGTTACCTCAGTGTCTTCTGGGCTCTCTTGGGTCCTTCCAGGATTTCGGTGTCCCTCAGGTTTGTGCAGCCTCTCTTTGTGGTGTCACCCAGAGTGATACCTCACAAGGTACAGGACAGATTTAACTCAGTTTTAACTGAAAGGGGCTGAGCTGCTTGAAGAGGAGACAAGCTTGAATGATCCCTACTGTACCCATGGGATGTGCTTATGCCACCCTCTCACCAATGCGCTGAGTTTTGGCTCAGCTTTCAGGGGCTCTCTTGGATTCACTTAAGCTTTCCTGGGCTCTCTTAGCATCACTTAAGCTCTCCTGGGATCTCCCTGGAGGGCTTTTTTTCCCCCGTTTCCTCTCCCTGGTGGCTTTCTCAGATGCTTCCAGGGTGGCCATGGCACCTCTGAGCTTTCCTAATCTCTGTGGGCTCTTGAGGATGCTGTTGTTTCCCCAGGCTCTCTTAGGTTGTTCATGCTTCCCTGCCAGCTGGCTTCTGTCCTTCCTGATAATCCTTACATTATCTTGTTAGACATTGCCAAGGAGGCAATGGTTTCTGGAGTCTGGCAGAGGATGGGAGCTGGGGGTCAGGCTCTCGGCGGGGGTTTGGTGGAAGGAGAGACAGGGTTTTGTTTCAGCCCTGGTGCAAGCAGCACCTCTCAAACCACAGGCTTGTTCTGCTGATGAGCAGGAAGTTCCCGGGAGGGCCTCTGTGAAACCACAGCTGCTGTCAGCACATTTCTGGGCTGGGACAGGTAATCAACAGAAGCCATGAAGCAATTTTGGGTGATGGGAAATGGGCCAGGCCAAGAAGTCACCGGAGCTGCCGACTCCAAAGAGACCCAGCAGGTCTGGTCCCCTGTGCAGCCCTGGTTTGGACATCAGCCCAGTGACACTGGCCAGAGGCTGGGACCCAGCACTGTCATCTCCCCTGTCTATTCCTGGAGATGGGAGCTGCTGGTCCCACTGCCTGCAGGGCTCTGACAAGGGCTGAGTGAGACCCAGCTCTGGGGACAGAGTCCCAGGTGTCACTTCAGCAGAGGTGGGGGTCTGGAGGTCAGGACTGGGGCTGAGAGCCAGAACTGGGTCGCAGTGAGAGGAAAGCAGCACTGTTCTTACCCTGGTGAGAGGGTGCTGGTCCCCTGAGTGACCAGGAAGTTTAAACAGATTTGTGCTTTGTTAATGCAATTCTGTTTGGCTCCATAGTGGTGCTCGCAGTGGGAGAGAAACCAGATATTGGGCCTGGGTACCATCCCTGGGGGCTGCCTGGACCCTGGGAGGGTCCTGGGCCATTGCTGCTGATACAGGAGTC